TGTTGTTGTTGACGTTGTTAGTGTTGTTGTTGACGTTGTTAGTGTTGTTGACGTTGTTAGTGTTGTTGTTGTAGACGTTGTTAGTGTTGTTGACGTTGTTAGTGTTGTTGTTGACGTTGTTAGTGTTGTTGTTGACGTTGTTAGTGTTGTTGTTGTTGACGTTGTTAGTGTTGTTGACGTTGTTAGTGCTGTTGTTGTTGACGTTGTTAGTGTTGTTGTTGTTGACGTTGTTAGTGTTGTTGTTGTTGTTGACGTTGTTAGTGTTGTTGTTGTTGTTGACGTTGTTAGTGTTGTTGTTGACATTGTTAGTGTTGTTGTTGACGTTGTTAGTGTTGTTGTTGACGTTGTTAGTGTTGTTGTTGTTGACGTTGTTAGTGTTGTTGTTGAAGTTGTTAGTGTTGTTGTTGTTGACGTTGTTAGTGTTGTTGACGTTGTTAGTGTTGTTGTTGACGATGTTAGTGTTGTTGTTGACGTTGTTAGTGTTGTTGTTGACGTTGTTAGTGTTGTTGTTGTTGACGTTGCTAGTGTTGTTGTTGACATTGTTAGTGTTGTTGTTGTTGTTGTTAGTGTTGTTGTTGTTGACGTTGTTAGTGTTGTTGTTGTTGACGTTGTTAGTGTTGTTGACGTTGTTAGTGTTGTTGACGTTGTTAGTGTTGTTGTTGTTGACGTTGTTAGTGTTGTTGACGTTGTTATTGTTGTTGTTGACGTTGTTAGTGTTGTTGGTGTTGACGTTGTTAGTGTTGTTGTTGTTGATGTTGTTAGTGTTGTTGTTGTTGACGTTGTTAGCGTTGGTGTTGTTGTTGACGTTGTTAGTGTTGATGTTGACGTTGTTATTGTTGTTGACGTTGCTAGTGTTGTTGTTCACGTTGTTAGTGTTGTTGTTGACGTTGTTAGTGTTGTTGTTGATGTTGTTAGTGTTGTTGTTGTTGACGTTGTTAGTGTTGTTGTTGACGTTGTTAGTGTTGTTGTTGACGTTGTTAGTGTTGTTGTTGACGTTGTTATTGTTGTTGTTGTTGTTAGTGGTGTTGTTGATGTTGTTAGTGTTGTTGTTGTTGACGTTGTTAGTGTTGTTGTTGTTGACGTTGTTAGTGTTGTTGTTGACGTTGTTAGTGTTGTTGTTGACGTTGTTAGTGTTGTTGTTGACCTTGTTAGTGTTGTTGTTGTTGACCTTGTTAGTGTTGTTGACCTTGTTAGTGTTGTTGACGTTGCTATTGTTGTTGACGTTGTTAGTGTTGTTGTTGTTGACGTTGTTAGTGTTGTTGTTGTTGTTGACGTTGTTAGTGTTGTTGTTGTTGTTGACGTTGTTAGTGTTGTTGTTGTTGACGTTGTTAGTGTTATTGCCGTTGTTAGTGTTGTTGGTGATGTTGTTAGTGTTGTTGTTGACGTTGTTAGTGTTGTTGACGTTGTTAGTGTTGTTGTTGTTGACGTTGTTAGTGTTGCTGTTGACGTTGTTAGTGTTGTTGTTGACGTTGTTAGTGTTGTTGTTGACGTTGTTAGTGTTGTTGTTGTTGTTGACGTTGTTAGTGTTGTTGTTGTTGTTGACGTTGTTAGTGTTGTTGTTGTTGTTGACGTTGTTAGTGTTGTTGTTGACGTTGTTAGTGTTGTTGTTTACGTTGTTAGTGTTGTTGACGTTGTTAGTGTTGTTGTTGTTGACGTTGTTAGTGTTGTTGACGTTGTTAGTGTTGTTTTTGTCGTTGTTAGTGTTGTTGACGTTGTTAGTGTTGTTGTTGACGTTGTTAGTGTTGTTGTTGACGTTGTTAGTGTTGTTGTTGACGTTGCTAGTGTTGTTGTTGACGTTGTTAGTGTTGTTGTTGACGTTGTTAATGTTGTTGTTGACGTTGTTAGTGTTGTTGTTGACTTTGTTAGTGTTGTTGTTGACGTTGTTAGTGTTGTTGACGTTGTTAGTGTTGTTGTTGTTGACGTTGTTAGTGTTGTTGTTGACGTTGTTAGTGTTGTTGTTGACGTTGTTAGTGTTGTTGTTGACGTTGTTAGTGTTGTTGTTGACGTTGTTATTGTTGTTGTTGACGTTGTTAGTGTTGTTGTTGACGTTATTAATGTTGTTGTTGACGTGTCCTGTGTTTTACTAGTGTTGTGTGGTAATGTGACAGTGTACACTGGGTGACCGTCCTGGGAGGAGTCTCCACACCAGCGGCTGGTCAGCCACACTGACACAGTGTTTATGGAGAACACTGCGCACATGTCCTTCAGTGGTTGACACCTTTTGCTTGTTGTAGCGTCTTTCGTCCCTGAGCCTTGTTACAGCGTCCCTGAGCCTTGTTACAGCGTCCCTGAGCCTTGTTACAGCGTCCCTGAGCCTTGTTACAGCGTCCCTGAGCCTTGTTACAGCGTCCCTGAGCCTTGTTATAGCGTCCCTGATCCTTGTTACAGCGTCCCTGATCCTTGTTACAGCGTCCCTGAGCCTTGTTACAGCGCCCCTGAGCCTTGTTGCAGCGTCCCTGAGCCTTGTTACAGCGTCCCTGAGCCTTGTTGCAGCGTCCCTGAGCCTTGTTACAGCGTCCCTGAGCCTTGTTACAGCGTCCCTGAGCCTTGTTGCAGCGTCCCTGAGCCTTGTTACAGCGTCCCTGAGCCTTGTTACAGCGTCCCTGAGCCTTGTTGCCGCGTCCCTGAGCCTTGTTACAGCGTCCCTGAGCCTTGTTGCAGCCTTGTTACAGCGTCCCTGAGCCTTGTTACAGCGTCCCTGAGCCTTGTTACAGCGTCCCTGAGCCTTGTTACAGCGTCCCTGAGCCTTGTTGCAGCGTCCCTGAGCCTTGTTACAGCGTCCCTGAGCCTTGTTGCAGCGTCCCTGAGCCTTGTTGCAGCGTCCCTGAGCCTTGTTGCAGCGTCCCTGAGCCTTGAGCCTTGTTGCAGCGTCCCTGAGCCTTGTTGCAGCGTCCCCTGAGCCTTGTTACGCGTCCCTGAGCGTCCCTGAGCCTTGTTGCCGCGTCCCTGAGCCTTGTTGCAGCGTCCCTGAGCCTTGTTGCAGCGTCCCTGAGCCTTGTTGCAGCGTCCCTGAGCCTTGTTGCACAGCGTCCCTGAGCCTTGTTGCAGCGTCCCTGAGCCTTGTTGCCCGTCCCTGAGCCTTGTTGCAGCGTCCCTGAGCCTTGTTGCGCCCCTGAGCCTTGTTGCCGCGTCCTTGAGCCTTGTTGCCGTCCCTGAGCCTTGTTGCAGCGTCCCTGAGCCTTGTTACAGCGTCCCTGAGCCTTGTTGCCGCGTCCCTGAGCCTTGTTGCAGCGTCCCTGAGCCTTGTTGCAGCGTCCCTGAGCCTTGTTGCAGCGTCCCTGAGCCTTGTTGCAGCGTCCCTGAGCCTTGTTGCAGCGCCCCTGAGCCTTGTTACAGCGTCCCTGAGCCTGTGTTACAGCTTCCGTCCCTGAGCCTTGTTGCAGCGTCCCTGAGCCTTGTTGCAGCGTCCCTGAGCCTTGTTGCAGCGCCCCTGAGCCTTGTTACAGCGTCCCTGAGCCTGTGGCTTCCCATGGGGGGGGGGGGTGGTACCTATGATGCTCGATAAAGACTTGCTGCCGTAGGTAACACTGTGAGCAGGAGGAACAACATTTTGAGCGACAATGGGAACAAGGGTTTTGTCTGCCTCTGTTGGAGGGAATGTTGGCACGGATCAAAGCGAGGAACTTAAAAATTAATTATATTTATCACTGGCTGTACCCGGCCACGCGTTGCTGTGGCTCAGCAATGCTGGCGTGTTGCTGAGCCACAGCAACCCTCCTCTGTCCCCCTGTCCGTCTGTCCCCCTCATCCTCTCTACCATTCCCCCCTCCCCCGTCCCCTCAACCTTCCCACCATCACCCACTGACCCTGTCCTCTCGCCCCCCCCCCCTCCCCATCATTCCCCACTCCCTCATCCGATGTGTTCCCAAATGATCTGATGTTTTCATCAGAAAAATGGGAACATCAAATGATCTGATGTTCTCATCAGAGAATTGGGAACATCAAATGATCTGATGTTCTCATCAGAAAAATGGGAACATCAAATGATCTGATGTTCCCATCACTGAAAAATAAAAAGAATAGTTAAAAAACCGAAATTAAAAAAATGAAAAATAAGCAAAATAAACTATACTCAGGAAATGAACAGTATGGTAAACAACACAGCTCAATTCCAACACAATGTCACACAAAATAATTAAGTAAAAATGAAAATAAATCGAAATCTATGAAAATTCAATTTATCAATGCAATCAGAAACATTGAAATGGAATCATAAAATATTTAGTATGGCGTGTGTTGCTTTTACGTGCGACAGATGGCGCTGTTTTACAAAAAAGCATGTTTTTACCTGTCTCAGGTGTGTCATCTATATAGTAGGTATATAAAAACACGCGGGTATTCGAATGCAACGTTGTGTCAAAATTTCAAAGAAATCGGTAAAAAACTTTCGCAGATTAATTCTGAACAAACATTTACATTTGTTATTTATATAGACTAGAAATTATTAGGGTAAAGGCTGGTGTTGCTGCCACGTGTCGGGCTATGTCGAGGAGTTCTGTAAGTTCTGCAACACAAATATCAACCATTTTTGCTTATTGGTAATGAATGGCGCGTTATAAACCCGATATCTCATGAACAAATCCGCAAGGGCCGTCATGAGGGTTCGAACTTACGCCTGGGATGATCCCAGACGCTGCCTTAGTCAGCGTCAGACTAAGGCACTGTCTGGGATTATCCCGGGCGTAGGTTCGAACCCTTTCACGTCCTTTATGGATTTGTTCATTGGATGCGTCACACTATTGTGATTTCCATGTGTACCGATATCTCATATTAGCCAAAATATATATATAGTCATATGCAATTGACGATCACAAAACACTGATCATTTTTATGCGGAAAATCCACAAAGAAATGTGAAAGGAAGTGAACGTTTCGGCCTGATTAAAGCCGTTGTCAACACCAGACTCGGGTCTGGTGTTGGCTTTAATCAGGCCGAAACGTTCACTTCCTTTCACATTTCTCTGTGGATTTAACGCATATAGTCATATAAATCTACTTACCTATTACGGGTCCGACTGTGAAGAAGCCCAAGGCCACCAGGAAGTTCTTGGCTCCGTAGATGGCGGTGAGGTTCCCTAGGCCTACCACCTGGGTCATCAAGAGGTTGTTGAGGCCGTAGAAGCCGCCGCTGGCACAGCCGAACACGCCCATGGCCGCCGCCTGCCACACCGCCTCACTCTGCAAGGTGAACACTGAGTCACAGTTAGTCTGGTAACCCATACACCACAGCCACTCCTCCTACCTCCCCAACGGCAACTACCACAGCAAAGATTGGACTGTCTGGTAATATTAATGTCTCTGAGGAGTGTTCACCTACCTACCTTGTGCCTATTTTGTGTATCATAGACCCCGTGGCCTGGCAACCCGTTCTCGCACTTCCTTATAGTCAATATCTTGCTTATGAGTAAGTGCATAGTGACATACTAATTTATTGTGAATATTTGAGTTTACCTTGAAAAGCTGAATAGAAAACCACAACTTAACCTAACCTTCTTAGTATGTTAAGATATTACAATTAGTACTGAACCTATACCTATACTGATATTACAGTTTTATAAAAAAAATAATACAAAACTAAAATATTTAAATAAGTTGTGAAGTAACTCGGGATATTGGCAAATTTTGTATAAAATCTCTATTGTTTAATATGAGAGAAAAAGTTAGTGCCTTGAAAAAAAACATGGCTTGGAATATGTCACATATATACTTATTTATAAGCGAAATAGTGACTATAAGCAATAAGTCATATATGTATTGTCTTGTGCGATAGCGGTTTGCAAGGCCCGGTCTCCGAACAGACCTCCCATCCCATCAACCAGGCTGTTAGACGCGGCTGCTCGCAGCCTGACGTATGAGTCACAGCCTGGTTGATAAGATATTCTTTGGAGGAGCTTATCAAGTTCTCTCTTGAACACTGTGAGGGGGCGGCCAGTTATGTCCCTTATGTGTAGTGGAAGCATGTTGAACAGTCTCGGGCCTCTGAAGTTGATAGTTCTCTCTTGAACACTGTGAGGGGTCGGCCAGTTATGCCCCTTATGTGTAGTGGAAGCATGTTGAACAGTCTCGGGCCTCTGAAGTTGATAGTTCTCTCTTGAACACTGTGAGGGGTCGGCCAGTTATGTCCCTTATGTGTAGTGGAAGCGTGTTGAACAGTCTCTGGCTTCTGATGTTGATAGTTCTCTCTTGAATACTGTGAGGGGTCGGCCAGTTATGTCCCTTATGTGTAGTGGAAGCGTGTTGAACAGTCTCGGGCCTCTGATGTTGATAGTTCTCTCTTGAACACTGTGAGGGGTCGGCCAGTTATGTCCCTTATGTGTAGTGGAAGCGTGTTGAACAGTCTCGGGCCTCTGATGTTGATAGTACCCACCCAGGAAGCAGCCCGTAACAGCTGGCTAACTCCCAAGTACCTATTTACTGCTAGGTAACAGAGGCATCAGGGTGAAAGAAACTCTACCCATTTGTTTCTGCCTGGTCCGGGAACCGAACCCGGGCCACAGAATTACGAGTCCTGCGCGCTGTCCACTTAGCCACCAGACCCACCGGTAGTGTGTGTGTGTGTGTGTGTGTGTACTCACCTATTTTTGTCTGCAGGATCGAGCATTGACTCTTGAATTTCTAGCCATCGGTTGTTTACAGCAATGACTCGATCCTGTCACATTTCCCTATTATTTCTAGTTTTAAAATTATGAATAGAGTTTGCTTCCACAACCTGTTCCTGAAGTGCATTCCATTTTCCCACTACTCTCACGCTAAAAGAAAACTTCCTAACATCTCTGTGGCTCATCTGAGTTTCCAGCTTCCACCCATGTCCCCTCGTTCTGTTACTATTCCGTGTGAACATTTCGTCTATATCCACTGTCAATGGCCCTGAGTATTTTATACGTTCGTACACACTCACACATTTATATGTGTGTGTACTCACCTAATTGTGCTTGCAGGGAATGAACTCTGGCTCTTTGGCCCCGCCTCTCAACTGTCAATCAACTAATGTACAGGTTCCTGAACCTACTGGGCTCTATCATATCTACACTTGAAACTGTGTATGGAGTCAGCCTCCACCACATCACTTCCTAATGCATTCCATTTGTCAACCACTCTGACACTGAAAAAAATCTTTCTAACGTCTCTACGGCTCATTTGGGCACTCAATTTCCACCTGTGCCCCCTTGTGCTTGTGCCCCTTGTGTTAAAAAAAAGTCTGTCTTTATCTACCCTATCAATTCCTCTGAGAATCTTGTATGTGGTGATCATGTCCTCTCTAACTCTTCTGTCTCCCAGTGACATGAGGTTTAATTCCCGTAGTCTCTCCTCGTAGATCATACCCCTCAGTTCGGGTACTAGTCTGGTGACAAATTTTTGAACCTTTTCCAGTTTAGTTTTAAGCTTGACTAGATATGGACGCCATGCTGGAGCCGCATACTCCAGGATCGGTCTGACATATGTGGTATATAATGTTCTGAAAGATTCCTTACACAAGTTTCTAAAGGCCGTTCTTATGTTAGCCAACCTGGCATATGCCGCTGATGTTATCCTCTTGATATGAGTTTCAGGGGACAGGTCTGGCGTGATATCAACCCCCCAGGTCTTTCTCTCTCTCTCTCTGGCTCTTGAAGTATTTCATCTCCGAAATGATACCTTGTATTTGGTCTCCTGCTCCCTACACCTATCTTCATTACATTACATTTGCTTGGGTTAAACTCTAACAACTATTTGTTCGACCATTCCTGCAGCTTGTCCAGGTCTTCGTAAAGCCTCAAGCTGTCCTCAGCTGTCTTAGTCCTTGTCATAATTTTGGCATCGTCAGCAAACATTGAGAGGAATGAATCTATTCACTCTGGGAGATCATTTACTCTATCAGAAACAGGATAGAACAGAGTACAGAGCCCTGTGGGACTCCACTGGTGACTTCACGCCAATCTGAGGTCTCACCCCTCACTGTAACTCTCTGCTTCCTATTGCTTAGGTACTCCCTTATCCACTGGAGCGCCCTACCAGTTACTCCTGCCTGTTTCTCCAGCTTATGCAAAAGCCTTTTATGGGGTACTGTGTCAAAGGCTTTCCGACTGTCCAAAAAAAAGCAATCCGCCCATCCTTCTCTTTCTTGCTAAATCTTTGTCACCTGATCGTAGAATTCTATTAAGCCTGTAAGACAAGATTTACCCTCCCTGAACCCATGTTGATGAGTTATCACGAAGTCCCTTCTCTCCATATGTGTTACTAGGATTTTTCTCACTATCTTCTCCATCACCTTACATGGTATACAAGTTAAGGACACTGGCCTGTAGTTCAGTGCCTCTTGTCTGTCACCCATTTTGTATATTGGGACTATATTAGCCGTCTTCCATATTTCTGGTAGGTCTCCTGTTTCCAGTGACCTACTATTGACTATGGAGAGTGGCAAACAAAGTGCTCCTGCACACTCTTTTAATACCCAAGGTGAGATTCCGCCCGGGCAAACAGCCTTTCTCACGTCCAGATCCAACAGGTGCTTCTTGACCTCATCTCTTGTAATTTCGAACCCTTCCAAGGCCGCCTGGTTTGCTGCCACCTCTCCTAGCACCGTGACTTCTCCCTGTTCTATTGTGAAGACCTCCTGGAATCTCTTGTTGATTTCTTCACACACCACTTTGTCATTCTCTGTGTTCCTGTCCTCACCCGTCCTAAGTTTCATCACCTGTTCCTTCACTGTTGTTTTCCTCCTGATGTGACTGTGTAGTAGCTTTGGTTCGGTCTTGGCCTTATTAGCTATATCATTTTCATACTTTTTCTCAGCTACTCTTCTCACACTAACATTCTCGTTCCTGGTTCTCTGGTATCTCTCTCCACTTTCTGGTGTTCTGTTATTACGGAAGTTCCTCCACGACCTTTTGTTCAGCTCCTTTGCTTTCATACATTCCCTATTAAACCACGGATTCTTCTTTTGCTTCTCGGTTTTTTCCTGTCTGGCCAGGATAAACCTGCTTACAGCCTCGTGACACTTTTGGGTGACACAGTCCATCATGTCTTGTACGGACTTGGTTCTGAGTTCTGTGTCCCATTGTATATCCCTTAGGAATTTATTCATCTCCTCATAGTTTCCTTTTCGGTACGCCAGCCCTTTGTTTCCCAGTTGTTTTTTGGGGGTGATAATTCCTAGCTCAATCAGGTACTCAAAGCTCAATACACTATGATCACTCATTCCCAAGGGGGGCTTCCAACTTAACTTCCCTTATATCCAACTCATTTAGGGTAAATATCAGATCAAGCAAGGCTGGTTCATCCCCTCCTCTCATTCTTGTCGGTCCCTTGACGTGTTGACTTATAAAGTTTCTTGTTGCCACGTCCAGCTGCTTAGCTCTCCATGTGTCTGGGCCTCCATGTGGGTCTCTGTTCCCCTAATCTATCTTCCCATGGTTGAAGTCTCCCATGATTAGAAGTCTGGATCCGTTCCTGCTAGCCACAGAAGCTGCTTTCTCTATTATGTTGATGGTGGCCAAGTTGTTTCTATCATATTCCTGTCTGGGACTTCTGTCGTTCGGTGGGGGGTTATATATGACTACTACTATAATTTTCTGTCCTCCAGTTGCTATGGTGCCTGATATGTAGTCACTGAAACCTTCACAGTTCTGATTTACCATCTCAAAATTCAAAAACAAATTCAAATGTTTATTCAGATAAAGTACATACATACAAGGTGTGATACAAACATTGATAGATTTATAGATAGAGCTAGTACATACAATGCCTGAAGCCACTATGACGCAAAGCGTTTCGGGCAGGAAAAACACTAAAGACTAAAACTTAATACTAATTGAGATTAAAGTATAAATTGTGTTGAGAACATATAAAAAAAGGGGGGGGAACATGGCAGAAAAATAGTAAAAATACAATTTGGTCGACAAACAGCATTGTTTAAAATACCAGACATGGGTTGACATTATAGGGGTAAGGTAGGTGACAGGGAGTTAATTATGTATTGCTTAGTTTTTATCTTAAACTGTTTGAGAGAGGTACAGACTGTAACATGATTGGGAAGGTCATTCCACATTCTGGGTCCCTTGATTTGAAGAGCATTTCTAGTTTGAAGACCATCTCTTCAAAACTCCAACCTTTCCTTATCAGCAAAGCTACACCACCTCCTCCTCTCCCTTCTTTCTCTTTCCTCACTACATAGTAGTCCTGTGGAAACACTGTGTGTGTGTGTGTGTGTGTGTGTGTGTGTGTGTGTGTGTACTCCCCTAGTTGTACTCACCTAGTTGTGCTTGCGGGAGTTGAGCTTTAGCTCTTTGGTCCCGCCTCTCAACCGTCAATCAACTGGTGTACAGATTCCTGAGCCTACTGGGCTCTATCATATCTACATTTAAAACTGTGTATGGAGTCAGCCTCCACCACATCACTGCCTAATGAATTCCACCCGTTAACTACTCTGACACTGAAAGAGTTCCTTCTAACGTCCCTTTGGCTCATGTGGGTACTCAGTTTCCACCTGTGTCCCCTTGTTCGCGTACCACCTGGCATGTGAGTAATTACCTAGTTGTGCTTGCTGAAGTGAAGCTCTGGCTCTTTGGTCCCGCCTCTCAACTGTCAATCAACTAATGTACAGGTTCCTGAGCCTTTTGGGCTCTATAATATCTACAATGTGGAATTGGAGAACATAGACCCCACACAACCTATAAATTATGTGAGAATTATGTGAGAAATCTTAAAAAAAGTCTGATAAAGAAAGAGATCTAGGAGTGGTTCTAAATAGAAAACTATCACCTGAGGACCACATTAAGAACATTGTACGAGGAGCCTATGCTACACTTTCTAACTTCAGAATTGCTTTTAAATACATGGATGAAGAAATACTAAAGAAATTGTTCACGACTTTTGTTAGACCAAAGCTAGAATATGCAGCTGTTGTGTGGTGCCCATATCTTAAGAAGAACATCAACAAACTGGAAAAGGTGCAAAGACATGCCACTAAGTGGCTCCCAGAACTGAAGGACAAGAGCTACGAGGAGAGGTTAGAGGCATTAAATATGCCAAAACTGGAAGACAGAAGAAAAAGAGATGATATGATTACTACGTACAAAATAGTAACAGGAATTGATAAAATTGATAGGGAAGATTTCCTGACACCTGGAACTTTAAGAACAAGAGGTCATAGAAATAAACTAGCTAAACACAGATGCCGAAGAAATATAAGAAAATTCACTTATGCAAACAGAGTGGTAGACGGTTGGAACAAGTTAGGTGAGAAGGTGGTGGAGGCCAAGACCGTCAGTAGTTTCAAAGCGTTATATGACATAGAGTGTTGGGAAGACGGGACACCACGAGCGTAGCTCTCATCCTGTAACTACACTTAGGTAATTACACTTAGGTAATTATTTGACACCGTGTATAGAGTCAGCCTCCACCACATCACTTCCTAACACATTCCATTTGTCAACCACTCTGACACTAAAAGTTTTTTCTAATATCTTTATGTGTGTGTGTGTACTCACCTATCTGTACTCACCTATTTGTGCTTGCGGGGGTTGAGCTTTGGCTCTTTGGTCCCGCCTCTCAACTGTCAATCAACTGGTGTACAAATTCCTGAGCCTACTGGGCTCTGTCATTTCTACATTTAAAACTGTGTATGGAGTCAGCCTCCACCACATCACTGCCTAGTGCATTCCATCCGTTAACTACTCTGACACTGAAAAAATTCCTTCTAACGTCCCTGTGGCTCATGTGGGTACTCAGTTTCCACCTGTGTCCCCTTGTTCGCGTCCCACCAGTGTTGAATAGTTTATCCTTGTTTACCCGGTCGATTCCTCTGAGGATTTTGTAGGTTGTGATCATGTCTCCCCTTACTCTTCTGTCTTCCAGTGTCGTAAGGTGCATTTCCCGCAGCCTTTCCTCGTAACTCATGCTTCTTAGTTCTGGGACCAGTCTAGTGGCATACCTTTGGACTTTTTCCAGCTTGGTCTTGTGCTTGACAATGTACGGGCTCCATGCTGGGGCCGCATACTCCAGGATTGGTCTTACATATGTGGTGTACAAGATTCTGAATGATTCCTTACACAGGGTCCTGAATGCTGTTCTGATGTTAGCCAGCCTCGCATATGTCGCAGACGTTATTCATTTTATGTGGGCTTCAGGAGACAGGTTTGGTGTGATATCAACTCCTAGATCTTTCTCTCTCTCCGTTTCATTAAGTACTTCATCTCCTATTCTGTATCCTGTGTCTGGCCTCCTGTTTCCACTGCCTAGTTTCATTACTTTGCATTTACTCGGGTTGAACTTCAACAGCCATTTGTTGGACCATTCACTCAGTCTGTCTAGGTCATCTTGTAGCCTCCTACTATCATCCTCAGTTTCAGTCCTCCTCATAATTTTTGCATCATCGGCAAACATTGAGAGAAACGATTCTATACCCTCTGGGAGATCATTTACATATATCAGAAACAGTATAGGTCCAAGGACTGACCCCTGCGGGACTCCACTCGTAACGTCTCGCCAATCTGAGACCTCACCCCTCACACTGACTCGTTGTCTCCTGTTGCTTAGCTGTTGCCTTTACCCAATGGAGTTCCTTCCCTTTCACTCCAGCCTGCATCTCCAGCTTTTTCACTAGCCTCTTGTGTGGCACTGTATCAAAGGCTTTCTGACAATCCAAAAATATGCAGTCTGCCCACCCTTCTCTTTCTTGCCTGGTCGTAGAATTCAAGTAACCCTATGAGGCAGGACCTGCCATCCCTGAACCCATGTTGATGCTGTGTTACAAAGTTCTTTCGCTCCAGGTGCTCCACTAGCTTTCTTCGCACAATCTTCTCCATCAGCTTGCATGGTATGCAGGTTAGGGACACCGGCCTGTAATTCAGTGCCTCCTGTCTATCCCCTTTCTTGTATATCGTGACTACGTTAGCTGCTTTCCAAATTTCTGGCAGTTCCCGTTGCCAGAGATTTGTTATACACTATGGAGAGTGGTAGGCACAGTTCTTCTGCTCCTTCCTTTTAGTATCCAAGGGGAGATTCCATCTGGGCCTATAGCCTTTGTCACATCCAACTCTAGTAAACACTTCCTTACTTCCCCGCTGGTAATCTCAAACTCTTCCAGTGGTTCCTGGTTAGCTATTCCCTCTCTTATCTCTGGAATTTCTCCTTGCTCTAAGGTGAAGACCTCCTGGAGTTTCTTATTCAGTTACTCACACACTTCCTTGTCGTTTGTAGTGAATCCTTCTGCCCCTATTCTTATTTCATAACCTGTTCCTTTACTGTTATTTTTCTCCTGATGTGGCTATGCAACAATTTAGGCTGAGTCTTTGCCTTGCTTGCGATGTCATTTTCGTATTGTCTTTTTGCCTCTCTTCTCATCCTGACATATTCATTTCTGGCACTCTGGTATCTTTCTCTGCTCTCCAGTGTCCTGTTATTCCTATAGTTTTTCCATGCCCTTTTACTTGCTGCTTAGCTAGCCTACATCTCTGATTAAACCATGGGTTTCTCATCTTCATTTCACTGTTTTCCTTTTGGGCTGGGACAAACTTGTTTGCTGCGTCCTTGCACTTCTGCGTGATGTAGTCCATCATATCTTGGGCCGTCTTTCCCCTGAACTCTGTTTCCCATGCTATTTCTGTTAGGAATTTTCTTATATACTCATAGTTTCCCTTTCGGTATGCTAATCTTTTGGTTTCGGTATCCCTGCTCGAGTTCAATAACCCTTCTTCAATCAAGTACTCAAACACCAGTACACTGTGGTCGCTCATTCCTACTGGGGCCTTAAAGCCGATTTCTCTTATGTCGGAGTGTGTGAGTGTGTGTGTATTCACCTAGTTGTATTCACCTAGTTGTGTTTGCGGGGGTTGAGCTCTGGCTCTTTGGTCCCGCCTCTCAACCGTCAATCAACAGGTGTACAGATTCCTGAGCCTATCGGGCTCTGTCATATCTACACTTGAAACTGTGTATGGAGTCAGCCTCCACCACATCACCCCCTAATGCATTCCATTTGTCAACCACTCTGACACTAAAAAAGTTCTTTCTAATATCTCTGTGGCTCATTTGGGCACTCAGTTTCCACCTGTGTCCCCTTGTGTGTGTGTGTGTGTGTGTGTGTGTGTGTGTGTGTGTGTGTGTGTGTGTGTGTGTGTGTGTGTCTGTGTGTGTGTGTGTGTCATATATTTTGTACTTAAGTTTGCCGAGTATTCCCTAGTATAGTGGGTGCGGCGGGTAGCACCCAGGCCCCACCCCCGGGCCTGCATCCTGCAAGTAGCTCCACCTCTCTCATAGTGACGTGCCACGACAGGGGAGGGAAGGTTGGGGGAGACTACCCTATATGGTAGCTGCCACAATAGTACTACTACTGAAGCCACAGCAAGTGTGGGGGCTCCTACTGAAGCCACAGCAAGTGTGGGGGCTCCTACTGAAGCCACAGCAAGTGTGGAGGCTCCTACTGAAGCCACAGCAAGTGTGGAGGCTCCTACTGAAGCCACAGCAAGTGTGGAGGCTCCTACTGAAGCCACAGCAAGTGTGGAGGCTCCTACTGAAGCCACAGCAAGTGTGGAGGCTCCTACTGAAGCCACAGCAAGTGTGGGGGCTCCTACTGAAGCCACAGCAAGTGTGGAGGCTCCTACTGAAGCCACAGCAAGTGTGGAGGCTCCTACTGAAGCCACAGCAAGTGTGGAGGCTCCTACTGAAGCCACAGCAAGTGTGGAGGCTCCTACTGAAGCCACAGCAAGTGTGGAGGCTCCTACTGAAGCCACAGCAAGTGTGGAGGCTCCTACTGAAGCCACAGCAAGTGGAGGCTCCTACTGAAGCCACAGCAAGTGTGGAGGCTCCTACTGAAGCCACAGCAAGTGTGGAGGCTCCTACTGAAGCCACAGCAAGTGTGGAGGCTCCTACTGAAGCCACAGCAAGTGTGGAGGCTCCTACTGAAGCCACAGCAAGTGTGGAGGCTCCTACTGAAGCCACAGCAAGTGTGGAGGCTCCTACTGAAGCCACAGCAAGTGTGGAGGCTCCTACTGAAGCCACAGCAAGTGTGGAGGCTCCTACTGAAGCCACAGCAAGTGTGGGAGCTCCTACTGAAGCCACAGCAAGTGTGGAGGCTCCTACTGAAGCCAGGCCACAGGAAGTGTGGGGGCTCCTAATGTGTGGGGGCTCCTACTGAAGCCACAGCAAGTGTGGAGGCTCCTACTGAAGCCACAGCAAGTGTGGAGGCTCCTACTGAAGCCACAGCTCCTACTGAAGCCACAGCAAGTGTGGAGGCTCCTACTGAAGCCACAGCAAGTGTGGAGGCTCCTACTGAAGCCACAGCAAGTGTGGAGGCTCCTACTGAAGCCACAGCAAGTGTGGAGGCTCCTACTGAAGCCACAGCAAGTGTGGAGGCTCCTACTGAAGCCACAGCAAGTGTGGAGGCTCCTACTGAAGCCACAGCAAGTGTGGAGGCTCCTACTGAAGCCACAGCAAGTGTGGAGGCTCCTACTGAAGCCACAGCAAGTGTGGAGGCTCCTACTGAAGCCACAGCAAGTGTGGAGGCTCCTACTGAAGCCACAGCAAGTGTGGAGGCTCCTACTGAAGCCACAGCAAGTGTGGAGGCTCCTACTGAAGCCACAGCAAGTGTGGAGGCTCCTACTGAAGCCACAGCAAGTGTGGAGGCTCCTACTGAAGCCACAGCAAGTGTGGAGGCTCCTACTGAAGCCACAGCAAGTGTGGAGGCTCCTACTGAAGCCACAGCAAGTGTGGAGGCTCCTACTGAAGCCACAGCAAGTGTGGAGGCTCCTACTGAAGCCACAGCAAGTGTGGAGGCTCCTACTGAAGCCACAGCAAGTGTGGAGGCTCCTACTGAAGCCACAGCAAGTGTGGAGGCTCCTACTGAAGCCACAGCAAGTGTGGAGGCTCCTACTGAAGCCACAGCAAGTGTGGAGGCTCCTACTGAAGCCACAGCAAGTGTGGAGGCTCCTAAGCCACAGCAAGTGTGGAGGCTCCTACTGCTCCTACTGAAGCCACAGCAAGTGTGGAGGCTCCTACTGAAGCCACAGCAAGTGTGGGGGCTCCTACTGAAGCCACGGCAAGTGTGGGGGCTCCAACTGAAGCCACAGCAAGTGTGGAGGCTCCTACTGAAGCCACAGCAAGTGTGGAGGCTCCTACTGAAGCCACAGCAAGTGTGGAGGCTCCTACTGAAGCCACAGCAAGTGTGGAGGCTCCTACTGAAGCCACAGCAAGTGTGGAGGCTCCTACTGAAGCCACAGCAAGTGTGGGGGCTCCTACTGAAGCCACAGCAAGTGTGGGGGCTCCTACTGAAGCCACAGCAAGTGTGGACTGAAGCCACAGCAAGTGTGGAGGCTCCTACTGAAGCCACAGCAAGTGTGGAGGCTCCTACTGAAGCCACAGCAAGTGTGGAGGCTCCTACTGAAGCCACAGCAAGTGTGGGGCTCCTACTGAAGCTGTGGAGGCTCCTACTGAAGCCACAGCAAGTGTGGAGGCTCCTACTGAAGCCACAGCAAGTGGGAGGCTCCTACTGAAGCCACAGCAAGTGTGGAGGCTCCTACTGAAGCCACAGCAAGTGTGGAGACTCCTGAAGCTCCTACTGAAGCCACAGCAAGTGTGGAGGCTCCTACTGAAGCCACAGCAAAGTGTGGAGGCTCCTACTGAAGCCACAGGAAGTGTGGGGGCTCCTACTGAAGCCACAGCAAGTGTGGAGGCTCCTACTGAAGCCACAGCAAGTGTGGAGGCTCCTACTGAAGCCACAGCAAGTGTGGAGGCTCCTACTGAAGCCACAGCAAGTGTGGAGGCTCCTACTGAAGCCACAGCAAGTGTGGAGGCTCCTACTGAAGCCACAGCAAGTGTGGAGGCTCCTACTGAAGCCACAAAAAGTGTGGAGGCTCCTACTGAAGCCACAGCAAGTGTGAAGGCTCCTACTGAAGCCACAGGAAGTGTGAAGGCTCCTACTGAAGCCACAGGAAGTGTGGAGGCTCCTACTGAAGCCACAGGAAGTGTGGAGGCTCCTACTGAAGCCACAGGAAGTGTGGAGGCTCCTACTGAAGCCACAGGAAGTGTGGGTTGCTCCTACTGAAGCCACAGCAAGTGTGAAGGCTCCTACTGAAGCCACAGGAAGTGTGGAGGCTCCTACTGAAGCCACAGCAAGTGTGGAGGCTCCTACTGAAGCCACAGCAAGTGTGGAGGCTCCTACTGAAGCCACAGCAAGTGTGGAGGCTCCTACTGAAGCCACAGCAAGTGTGGAGGCTCCTACTGAAGCCACGGCAAGTGTGGAGGCTCCTACTGAAGCCACAGCAAGTGTGGAGGCTCCTACTGAAGCCACCCACGCCAGCCATGTAGCAGAGTCGCATGTTGAACCACGGGAAGTCTGAGAGAGTTGACACACACATCCTGGCCAGGAAGCTGGTGATGCCAGCCAGAGACACGCACCAGGCAGCCGCCTGTAGCGAGTGTCCCGACGCCTGTATGGCGAAGGGCACCAGCACGGTGAAGTTGGCCTCGCCGTTAACTGTAAGTGTTGACGACATGGCTATAATCAAACAGGATGGCTGCCTCAAGATGCGGATGTCCTCTATTATTGACCGGAACACGTGTATGAGAGCGCAACACAGAACGCAGCCACAGCCACAGACACTCCCAGGCGTCGCTTGGCGGTCCCCCTGAGTGGTCACCATCTTCTCACAGTCGTCCTGAGTGTTCACTGTCTTCTCACAGTCGTCCTGAGTGTTCACCGCCACTTCACGGTCGTCCTGAGTGTTCACCGTCTTCTCACAGTCGTCCTGAGTGTTCACCGTCTTCTCACAGTCGTCCTGAGTGGTCACCATCTTCTCACAGTCGTCCTGAGTGTTCACCGCCTTCTCACGGTCGTCCTGAGTGTTCACCGACACTTCACGGTCGTCCTGATTGGTAATGTTTGCATCAGAAGTGTCAGCTGATGACTGTCCATTAAGGTCCGTGGACATGAACGAGGTCTGGACACCGTTCTGACCTCCGCTGACGTTATGTAAATATGTTGACGTATCGGCCTTTGTACACTTGGAGTTTCTCAATTGAGTATTGAAACTATTTGAACCATTAACTTTAACACTTTTTCCTTCCTGATTCTCTGTTTCTGGAATAAGAACGTACACAACTTCAGTCTTACACGAAGACTTTTTCACCTTGGAAGACTTACGGTGCCACTCGACGGGGTGTAACAAGGTGGCACCAACGAAGCCATGAAGTATGACAGCTCCGAGGATGACCGTGGCGCCCTTGAACCCGTACTCCTCCTGCAGGAAGCGAATAAGCAAGGGACTGATGAAGTGGCCCAGTCCGGCGCCAGCCATGAGACAGGCGTTGGCCAGGCCGCGGTGGGCCTCGAAGTACTGGGCCAGGATGAGGTAACCCACACACGACAGCCCGCACCCCAGACCTGTAAAAACGGCATCAGTCAGCCCCCTCCAACATGTAACTATTTTCTATGGAATGTTGAACAGACATAATAATTTCACAGCTCTACTAGGTAAATAGAAGCCTCTACTAGGTAAATAGAAGACTATTAGATAAATAGAAGGCTCTATTAGGTAAATAGAAGGCTCTATTAGGTAAATAGAAGGCTCTATTAGGTAAATAGAAGGCTCTATTAGGTATATAGAAGGCTCTATTAGGAATATAGAAGGCTCTATTGGGTAAATAGAAAGCTCTATTGGGTAAATAGAAGGCTCTATTGGGAAAATAGAAGGCTCTATTGGGTAAATAGAAGGCTCTATTGGGTAAATAGAAGGCTCTATTAGGTAAATAGAAGGCTCTATTGGATAAATAGAAGGTTCTTTTGGGTAAATAGAAGGCTCTATTTGGTAAATAGAAGGCTCTATTGGGTAAATAGAAGGCTCTATTGGGTAAATGGAAGGCTCTATTGGGTAAATGGAAGGCTCTATTGGGTAAATGGAAGGCTCTATTGGGTAAATGGAAGGCCCTATTAGGTAAATGGAAGGCCCTATTAGGTAAATAGAAGACTATTAGATAAATAGAAGGCTCTATTAGATAAATAGAAGGCTCTACTAGGTAAATAGAAGGCTCTATTAGGAAAATAGAAGGCTCTATTAGGTAAATAGAAGGCTCTATTAGGTAAATAGAAGGCTCTATTAGGAAAATAGAAGGCTCTATTAGGTAAATAGAAGGCTCTATTAGGAAAATAGAAGGCTCTATTAGATAAATAGAAGGCTCTATTAGATAAATAGAAGGCTCTACTAGGAAAATAGAAGGCTCTACTAGGAAAATAGAAGGCTCCATTAAAGAATAGAAGGCTCTACTAGGAAAATAGAAGGCTCCATTAGGTAAAATAGAAGGCTCTACTAGGAAAATAGAAGGCTCAATTAGGTAAAATAGAAGGCTCTATTAGTAGTGAATAAGGAGACAGATTGAGGTAAAAAAAATTCAGAAACGGTTGGGCACTTCCATGCCGACTTGACCCTGTCGGGCCAGATCGTCCATCCCTCTTGTTTTAGGTGGTTAGGTTAGGGCACAGTCAGCGCGCTCCTGGCTGGCTGGCGGTGGTGGGGTGGTGGTCCCCCCTGGGGTCCCGGGGGGACCACCACCCATGGTGTACCTGAGGAACTGGTGCCCTATCCTAACCTGTTTTTTTGCACGATTCGTCTCGAGCTTTTAAGATGAGTCTAGGGCCTCAAGAAGGGGGTCTCTACTTATGAGAGGTACCGAGGATGAATGTTCAATAGTTGGAAACCAAAAAATACACTGGTGAAAGGCGTATAAACGTTTTTGGAGTATTTTAATGGCATGAGCAAAAATGCACGATTTGTCCCGGGGGTGTTACGAGAGTACTACGGTATCAATTTGGGGGCCCTTACTTTTGAATGGATCAGAGGGTGAATGTTCAATAGATTCAAACCAAGAAACGCAGTTGAAAGCGAATATAGTAGTTTTTGGAGTACTTTAATGAGGCTATGACTGAATAGTATAGGGAGCCCTTGGGCACAGCTCCATTTTCTGTAATGGTCAGAGGTGGATAACCCCAGTGGGGGTCAAGCATACAAGGGGGGGTCAAGATTCCTTACAAAGACCAAGTTTGGATATATAGGTGTAGTAAGACTTATCTTGAATTTGCATGATACTGTGGGGTACATTGACATGAAGGGCGAGTCATAGAACAGGATCTGCATGTGAGATGGGTCATATTGGGGTTTTAAAGAAGTTAAGATAGCTTTAAAGAGTCCTGTGTGCTTGATAGTGCAGAAATGTTCAGTCAATAATTCTCGTGTTTTGAATCTGAATGAGGGGTCCTAGTTTGCGTTCTAGTCGTAAAATGAGTTCCTTAGTATATTTGCTATGGAAAATGAGCTTTCAGTACTCTATATAATTTGAAATGAGGTCAAGAAAGACATGTTTATGTGCGAGAAGAGTCAGGTTGGAAACTGTTTATTCCAGTCATCCCCCCTCGGCATTGCTCCGTTTTCTGTAGCTAAAGTAAAGATTCCATTTTCTGTGGTATTCAGTTGAATACTGGTGAAAAAGGCATACTTGCCTTTGTATGGTTCTAACCTGTTTATAGATATATTTTTCGGGCCTCAAATTAGATTTTAATATGAAAAATAGCATCAAATGTATGTCTATCTTTTGTAATAAACGTTACAAGCATTAACAATACCTGTGACAATTTCATAGCATACGAAAAGAAGTTTAAATAGTGGGGCCTCAGCCATATTGTGTTGGGTTTGACACTCCAAGCATTCGTTTGACACTTGTAAATATACTATAAAGGAAAGTAGTTGAGTGGTTTAAGCAATTTAATACATACTGGGAATCTGTTCGTATTCTGTATTAAATTTCATTTTTTAACATAATAGTTTTCAGCTATTGTGGTGGGGGCCCAATAACTTCATATAGCGCATCGACTTATGTCAGTGCCGTGGTATATCAAGCGCAAAGGTTTTCAGAAAATGTTACACCTCCACCTTTCAAAAAAGTGAAAAGATGAATTCATTTTGGCATTACTGTCATTACTTTGGAAGTTTTTTAATTATAGCACATGCTTAAACAAACTCGCTCGCAAAAACAAACTCATTTTTTTTTTGTTTTACTTACACAAATAAACCCAGGGCTTTCACATTCGCGCAAAATACTTAGTCCCCCCTAAACTTAAAACAGTTGCACAATCTTACTTAAACACATTGCTAAACTCTTATACACAAACAAAAACTGAATTTTTAACTTACACAAATAAACCCAGGGCTTTCACATTCGCGCAAAATACTTAGTCCCCCCTAAACTTAAAACAGTTGCACAATCTTACTTAAACACATTGCTAAACTCTTATACACAAACAAAAACTCAATTTTTAACTTAAACAAATAAACACGGGCTTTGCACATTCACACACAAAAAATGCTTAGTCCCCCTAGACTTGAACACTCACAATCTTACGGTGCTTTAATTTCCAAAGCCTTCCAAACCTGCACTGGGTCCTGCCCAGCAGACTGCGGCTGGATGGGAAATTACAATTGAGCCAAAAACAGTTGGTCAGGGCGAGATACGGCCTCATTTTTAGAGACATTTACTATAGCAAAAGCTTGAACATCGAGAACTGAATGTGGGCCTACACGAGAGTTGTTCTTGGCACTCAAATGTTTAGAGATTAAAATACATAGAATCTGCAAGAGCCCACCCAAGTCGCTCACGCGGGCAATAGACATGTTTTTCGCCCAAGTGTATTTATTTAAAATAATATACGTCAGATAGAAAGATTTTCTGCATTGCCATTATATTTACCTTATAAAGCCTCTTTATAAAAATGATATGCCACTGCGTATTATGATTGTTTTATAATAAATATTGCATAAATACTTACACGATTTCATAAACAAAAATTATTTTAATGAGCCATGTTAGGAAGGCATTATCATTACAATAAATGTAAACTTTTAAACTAACTAAAAAGATATATCTCATAGAGGAAGATTTATTCTTCAATATATATGTTATTGTTTAAGAGTTTCATTCAGTATCAAAAGGTTTGCCAATGTTTTCAAAACTCTGGGCTACAAATTTTTTTTTAAGGTTTTCCGAGGGAGTAAATCTTGCTTCCTCTCTTTCTCCCACGTGTGTCCTCATTTGGGCCGGATGCAGAGTAACCTTCGTGCAAGTCCTGACTCAGTTCCCCAAAGCCTGACTCAGTTCCCCAACGTCCAAACTATTGGACATTGCAATATTTCACTAAATAATGCGTGCAAGTCCTGACTCAGTTCCCCAACGTCCAAACTATTGGACATTGCAATATTTCACTAAATAATGCGGTATTTTAGTTGCCCCCTCTAATTATAGAGATTTTAATCTCTAAACATTTGAGTGTCAAGAACAACTCTCGTGCAGGCCCGCGTTCAGTCCCTGACGTTCAAGCTTTTTTCTATAGTAAATGTCTCTAAAATGAGGCCGTATCTCGCCCTGACCAACTGTTTTTGGCTCAATTGTAACCCATCCAGCAGCAGTCTGCTGGATAGAAGGGCAGTGGGCCTGATAAAAATAAAAAAAAATAAACATAAATTGTTAGACTAGCTCTTTACATATGCTAGTTGTTTAATTTATTAACTGCTACTAATGTGATGATGATGCAAGAGGAGCCAGTACACATCTATGGATCAACCAATAAAAGCAGCAGACTTCTAGATGTTACTACTGCTCGGCTTAGCCCCCCCCCCCCATAGGAAGATGGGAATAGGGGGGGGCTGCATTAATAAATGAATTAAAACTAACATTCAATTATATATTCTCAAACTTATGCAAAAAAAAACTTTACAATCACATTTGCAAAACTTGCACAAATTAATTTTGTCAATTTCGTTTACCCATTATTTGTTTGTTTTTCTTGCTTGAGCCAAAAATGAATTGTTGGGTTCATTACCAGAGTCCATTTCCCACCGTGGTAACCCTTCCCACTACCCGCCCCACATGATGGGATTCATAATAAATGAACTAAACTAGCATTCAATTATATTCTCAACAAACTTATGCAACCCCCATACAATTACATTAGCAAGCTAACACAAATTCATTGAGCAAGTTTAACTATTCGCATACTTTGCGTCATTATATAATGGAATACGAAAAGGAAATTCGCAGAATTCAGAGATAACACCATCAATGGAGTCCAAGAAATACGCTTGTACTTCATTCATAATGATGCGCTGACAGGAATCTTAGCAAAGTAACCAAAATATTTGCTTACTGTATGTATGTGCAGGATGCACATGACTCTCCGGTTAGGCGGTTGTGGAGTGAGACCAGCAACTGCAGACTTCCCATAGTCGTAAAAATGCCTTGCATAGAGACCGTTGCAAGCCTCTTGTTGAATCACTTAGGGTGCATATATGTGTGTGTGTGTGTGTGTGTGTGTATGTAACGAGCTTTCAAGAGATTGTC